CCAATATTCATTATAATTTTTAGCAAGTTAGAAAGACAAAACCTTAATTCTTATTTCTTTTACCATAATTTATTACCCACAGTTCCAAGATACCCATAAAACCCAATAACAACATTTAATATTCTAATTATTTAAACTCTAAGTACTTCTTACCACCCACAGTCAAGATCGTCCTTGCAAAATCTTTCCTGAAATATTAAGACAAGTTATATTTTACTGAAGTGAACAGCAAAAGGTTAAACTGGCATTAAATTTTAAAAGTAAAATACATATTTTGAAATTATTTCATATTCAGCATCAAAACTTCTACAGTGTCCATAACACATGTTATAGAAAAACTTCGAGTTCATGTATCAATGTTCTGTATTATAATTTCTTCAATACAGTGCATCCTAGCTAGAGAAATTCTGCATTTTCAGGTTCTATTTATCATTCCATAAAGTGAGTTTCATTTGATGATATATTGGGATTCATGCAACTGTACTGGATGAGTTTGGGAGTTTTGTAACCAGTCATCTCATTAGCCTATGAAGATGGGTGTCTTTTCATATAGTTTGACACCTGGCAGAAATGAGACCACCCTGTGTCCATCTTTCCTAAGAGCTGTTTGACATGGCATTTAAAAATGATCCACTTAATAGCTTAATGAGGTTCAGTTATTATGTATTTATATATTCATTTTAGAATTTCAACTAAATGCTTGCAGACATGATGTCAGTCTTTTCCTTACTGTCTGAAAACTTCCCATTTTCTTAGACTAGATCCCATTATCTTAGACTAGATCTAAGATATGTTACTACTAAAAACAACCCTCAAAACAGTACCATGGAGAGTTTTGTTTAATTTTATGTTTGCATATTTTTAACGTTTGACTTGAGGTCCAGATCATTCTAGACTTTTCTGGAAACAAAATAATATGATCACAGGATTAGTGAGAAAACATCAAGTCAGCCACTTTCCAAATCTAAATACACCAATAAAAGTAATGATTTCATTAACGTGTTTAATACTATTTCTTCATTCAGTGGACCGACTACATCCTCCAAAGACAAGTGGAGAAACAGGAGGGCGATGAGCTCCATGCTCACCAAGCATTTCTCTTAGGCTTTGCGCTGTGGTAAACTCCCTGGCTGTGCCTGCATATGATACAGTGATGGTTAGTGCAGTTACTTGTGTAGGTTAAAATGTCAAAATAGAGCATTGGTTTTGCTCTTTCCGTGGGTACAGGTTACAACCTTCCCACCAAATTTCATGCCTCTCAAGACTATAAAACTTAAGTTGAGCCACCAAACCCTCCAGAATATCCATCACTTGAAAAGCAATGCAAATTTCATGTCCTATGGCGTTAGCTAGGAACTCAAAGCATGTACTCTCTGTACCAGGTAATGGGCTACTCATTTTACATGGATTGCCTGATTTGACCTTGACAGTAATTCTTTCAAGCAGGTATTTTGTTCATTCCATTTTATAGATGAGCAAACCCACATACACTAATAAATGGCCAAACCAGGACTTGAAGCCAAGCAACCAGGCTCGAGGGTCTGTATGCCTGACATCATCCCATTGGACCACTAAGGTCCACATGCACGGGGGGGGGGGGAAATCTGCCACCTATGAAGGCAATTTGTCTCACAAATTTAATGCAAAAGCAAAGCAAAAGACCCACCCTGTACTAATAAAATAGAAGAGCCTCAAGAAGTCTACCCTTTGTCCCAAGTCCGTGTTCAACAATCACTCAGTGCCTGAGCCTTAGTAGCTGCTCAAAACACCTACAGAGAAGAGCTCTGAGCATTCAGGCCTAGGGAAAACAGAAGGGTACAACCCTGAAAGAGTTTGCCTTCATGGCATCCTATAATCAAGTGCAAGGTCACTTACATCAGACGACACGCGCCTTCTGCCAAAAGGAGCCTTCTCCTCTCTTCCCGAGGTACTCCATGCAAAACACTGTTCAAAGTCCTCAGAGCCTTTGTGGAATTAGAAAAGGCATTGATGGGGAAGAAACAAAAGAGACCTATGCCCCATTTTCTTGAGGTTCTGGAGCAATCTGTTCTGTTACCTGTAACTCACCTCGTGTTGAATCAAGTGATTTATAGTCTTTTCTGTCACCAGGAATCCTAAGCTAAGTATGAAGGAATCCAACATCTGAATTTTTCCTGGAGAAGATATAATTTGAAAACATCAAATGTAAGCCCCAACGAACATGGAAATTACCTCTAAAGTGCAGGGCCCCTTCTGCACGTCCTGCAGAGCCATCGCCCGCGCCTGGGATCGGCCCGCAGCCTCGTCAGCAGCCGCCCGTGGTCTGC